TATATATATATATATATATATATATATATATATATATAGGGTACAATGGAGCTAAAGACCCACCTTAAGAAAAAATGTGCCATTCACTGCACCTAAAATGTATAATTGCAGAAAAAAAATATATACGTTGTACTGAACATTAATGGAGCAAAATACTTTGTGTGAAAATGAATCATTCAAGTTGTTTATTTTGTTTAAAAATTGTATAAATGTATGAGGTGGCAAGAGGGGCCTTTTACCCCACACACGGGGTAAAAGGTTCACGGTATTTATACAAATACTTCAGCTAAAAGTTTTTTTTTTTTTAAATAATGTCTAAGTGAATACTTGTTCAAAACAATCACTTTAGCAAAGTTTGTACTATTTTCTGCTTTTTAAAAAAAGAAAAGTATTAATTTTTTCCCCCAATAAATATGCTGTCATTAAAATGTGTTAATATAAAACAATATATTTTAAAATACAGAAACAAAATCGTTTTAATAAGTAAAGATTCTGAGAGTATTGAAGGAGATCCAATAATAATTTAATATATATTTACAGTAGTAACAGCAAATTATATGATATGATTAATATCATGTTTTTAAATATGATGGTTTCATTCTAAACATGGTGATTATCTCTAACATGGATACCCAACATAATATATGATATTTACCATCTGAATCTAACCAAGTCATGTCAACATATGGAAAAGTCAGCCATCTATTCATTATCATATTAATTACTGTGCGCCTTTAGCCCCAACAGCAGGGGGCTAAAATATCATACTTTTACATATTCTTTCGTTATTTAAAAACTGTTGCTTTAATCATCTAAAACAACACTGAAAATCACAAAGAAGACCCTTGTCTCAAAATATATGCATTAATTTTAGCGATTCTCATTTGCTACTTAAATCTACAACATTTTTAAAAACATAAAATATTAGATCAAGTAAGCACAGAATCAACTTTGCACTGCTGCGCGATCGTGTCAAAGATCAGACAAATATACATGTGGATCTTGAAAAACTGATGTTTTGGAAAGTGCTACGCCACGTTTTTGTGCCATCTAGTGGTTTAGATGAAAATAATATCAAAGGCGCCTTTTACCCTGGGGCACCTTTAGCCCCGTTGTACCCTATATATATATATATATATATAAGTTTTAATTAGGATTTTTATACCATATCAAAATTCTTGATGCACTGAAATTTCATTATTTGTGTTACCAATTTCAATATCACAAAAAATAATACTATAGCCTAAGTAAAAATAAGCTTACTGAAGACAAGTAAACAGTCACAAATTAAGCTACAACAGAAAGATCATAAGAAATCGGCCTACTTGAAAAACTTAAAGCACTTAATAATAAATATTGTATAAAGAAAATGTGCAAATAGACTGAATAGTCTTCACTGTATAAATTCAATATACATTCATTCTTATTTATTTTATAAAAGTGATTCAGTCAAGGACAGCAAGTAATTTTCTTTCTGATGTTTGATTTACATTATCGACAGCTATATTAGGCTGCATTATAGTTCACCCAAAAATGAAAATTCTGTTGATGTTCTAAACCTGTATGAGATTCCTTCATGCTGTTGAACACAAAATAATATATTTGGAACAATATTGGTAACCAAACAGTTGCTGGGCCCTCACTACTTCCATATATGAAAAAAAACACTATTGGAGTCAGTTGGGATCAGAAACTGGTTACGATCATTCTTCAAAATATCTTCTTTTATGTTGAGGAGGAAAAGGAAATTCATAGAGGTTTAGAACAATTTGAGGGTAAGTATATGATGACAATATCTTCATTTTTGGGTGAATATCCTTTTAAGATCTCATCATATAGGCTAAGGATCTCATATAGCCTACACATGCTTTATCTTTAACTATTAACATTCATTTAAGACACAAATAACTGTGTTTACGAGGATACTCGCAAAGACGGGCATTTTGACACATAACTATGTGTATTTGACTGTTTAAGCACAAGGAGCGAAAGTGTAGTCAGTAATACGAGCAGGTGTATCAGGTAGAAACCGTTTTAACGGACACATTTACCAGAATGAATTCTGCCCCGCAGCGTAATGTCCATGAACAAATTATGTTTTTTATGTTGTTTGTTTTTGAAGTTTTTCGTTTTTTGAGCCCCTCTCTCTTTTAGAATTGCTGACATTTTTACTTATTGGAATGTTGTTCTTTGTGCGACCATTTCCAGATTACTCCAGAACAAAGTGAAGAGCGGTGAATGCAGACATACTGGGCAGCAATCACCTGATAGATACATGCGCATATCGTTCAAAAGTCAAATATAGAATAAATGCATTTGATTGGTAAACCAAATTCAAACTTTACTTTTCAATCTCAAATGGTAATGCATGGAATTTACGGGAAAGCTCAACTAAATAACAGCGCTAACAAGTGGGGGGCATGGTGGCTTTGGCGATCGGCGCTCCAGTCAATCTACTCAACAGCCAATCATCGGCCCCCTCCTTGCTCGGGCCCCGGGGCTTCAGCCCCGCCTAGCCCAATGGTTAAAACGACCCTGGATGTAGATGGCTTTTGGCAGTGGTACATCATATAAGGTTCACACTTGTATGATGGATGTAAGCTAGGCCTACATATTAGTTCAAATGTCAGGAGTTCAATACAAATGAGACCATCAATCTAAAAACATGGATAGATTGATTGATATTATTGTTATATTTCATTACCCAGCATGCCACTGGCACGTAGTTTGTCGGTCACCTCCCTGTCTGGCCTGGAGGAATGGGACGAAGAGTTCGATCGGGAGGATGCAGTCCTGTTCGAGATCGCATGGGAGGTCGCTAATAAAGGTGTGTAATAAACAGTGTTGTGCAGTTACTAGTAACTTAGTTACTGTAATAAAATTACTTTTTGCAGTAACTAGTAGTGTAACTAATTACTAATAAGATTTCAGTAATATTACAGTTACCATCCATAAAACAGCTTATTTACTTAGTTCTTTTTTATGCCTCGACCCCGCTGATTTAAAATCCAACAATCAAATAATTCCTAGATTTATTTTCATAATTTTCACGACTTGCACATGCATGTGATGTCCCCAGTGCAGCAGGCAAGCTTGGAATATGGAAAAGCTTACATTCAGCAGATAGAAATATTGCATTATATTGATTTTATCAGGAAAAAAGATGATCTGAACACTGTTGTGTACGTTGTGGCTGTACTTTACTCTGGTATTACATCCCACCCACATCCCTCTGATCAGCATGTGGTACATTATATTACTATAATTAAAAATCTTTTGGGTAAATTAAACAGTTTCTTACAAACTTATGTGATTTTGATAAAATACATAATGAAATATAATCGTATATGGGTAATGGAGAAATTACAATTAGCTCCAAGCTACACATTACAATTAATGAGATTAATACAACACTTCTACTTGAATGTCGTCATCATCAATCACTATTGAGTGTTTGTAATAACTTCTGACTCCGATCCAACGTGGATTTTGGTCAAATGATTAGGCAGAAATATGTTGTTAGTAACATTCTAGAAGAATTTCATGTGGAAGATACACCGTTACAACTTCTGTGGGGCGTGAAGAAATAGTAATGTAACTAGTAGTGTAACTAATTACTGTTGCCAGAAAGTAATAAGTAAAGTAACAATATTACTTTTGAAAGGAGTAACTAGTAATGAGTAATATATTACATTCTTTGAGTAACTGGCCCAACACTGGTAATAAAGGCATGTTTCTTTTCTTGGATATGATGTTTCATTGATAATGTGTCATCATAGACATTTACACTCATACCTTCAAAGATCTACACTAACATTCAAGTTTGGAATACAGTAAGATTTTTAAAATGTTTTTCAAAGACCTGCTCCAGGGTTCAAGTCCCTGTTTGGGCGCCACTTATGTAACAGTGGTGGCCCCCCAAAGTTAAATTGTAGTATTTAAGGTAAGTAATTAAATTGACCTGCCTCTTCGAGAAATCTCTTCTAGAATGCTCATCGAGGCTGCATTTATTTCATTAAATATAGTAATATTGGGAAATTAATGTCATAACAGTTTAAAATAACTGAGTTCTATTTTAATATATTTAAAAATGTAATTTATTCCTGTGATGGCACAGCTGAATTTTCAGCATCATTACTCCAGACTTCAGTGTCACATGATCCTTCAGAAATCATTCTAATATGCTGATTTGCTGCACAAACTGTTGTGCTGCTTAATATTTTTGTGAAAACTTTTTTCCAAAAAAAAAAAAAAAAAAATCAACAAGGATTCTTTAGTGAATATGAAGTTCAGAGTTTATTTGAAATGGAAGTCTTTTCTAACGTTATAAATGTGTTTACTGTCACTTTTAATCAATTTAATGTTCTCTTGATGAATAAAAGTATTAATTTCCTATTAATTAAAAAAAAAATTGAGCAGTAGTGTAAATTTAGTTTTAAGATATTTATAGCGTTGTTACATTGACATGTCATGAGTGCACTAACAAGAAAAGTGCTAAAAGGTATCATATTGTATTTGAACTATAGTATGATACTATAAAAAGTATCATATCATAGTTTGTTTGAGCATAATATCATGTTTGTTTTGGACATGGACATGGACCTGATACCTGAAACCAAAGAGTAGATGACCCTGATGCCATCTACTCTTTGTGCACAGAAAACAAATAGGACTATAGGAAGAATGCTGTAGGAATGTATTGAAAGGATATTTCCAGTTTATTCTCCTGACCTAATCAAATTTTTAAAACTTAATTTTTTTTGCTCCGTTAGAATTGAGCACCAAGTGGGAGATAAATCATTTAAGGGTTATAATATTTGACTGTTTGCAGTTTATCTTCTGTTTCATGAAAGGTTTAAGCTTCAGTAACCAGAGCCAGACTAGTAAACAGTTCATACTGCATTTTACAAAGCCTGTTGAATCTTCCACAAAGTGTCAATATACTCTGTAAATATTTGAGACAAGAGGTTTTTGATATAATACAAGTATTAACCAACAATAAAATAACGTGATAAAACAACAATGTATTTTTAAGCCTAATTATTTTGAAGGACTTTATGAGAGTTATTCATTTGAACACAGTCTACAATCATCTACAGTTTTGGAAAGGAGAAACTAGACACTGTTGTTGTTGTCACAACACAAAAACCTATACGCCACATGACTCAACTGCCAAGCGTTCACAGATACTGTATCCACATACTCAGGGGCACAAGAGTCATGTGACTCTGGTGTTGGTATTTGCTGCACTCTGTGAATATTATATATTATTGACAGCTAGATTAGATAAAGGTCAAGGAGGTTGAGTTCAAAGGGCTGGGCAGCCTCCTCTTTCCTGTACCTAATCATCTGTTAAAGGTTACCTAACCACTCTCGTTTTGTGGCAGTTGGTGGCATTTACACGGTGATCCAGACCAAGGCGCGTCTGACCTGCGAGGAATGGGGCGAGAACTACTTTCTGGTGGGCCCATATATGGAGTCCAGTGTCAGGACACAAGTGGAGTTGATCGAACCCTGCAATGCAGCACTCAGGAGAACCATTGATAAAATGAACAGCAGTGGGTGCAAGGTATACACATTCACACACTTCAATAAATATTGAAAAAGAAAGGCAGTTTTTAGCTGTAGATTTGTTCACCTCTCATTTTTCCAAACTAATATGTGCACACACACACACACACACACACACCACACAGCCCGATTTAATCTGCTCTTATCCACAGTGAAACCCTAAACCTTCATTCTGGAGAGTGTTTGTATGACATCTCTCTAGTGTGTGTGTGTGTGTGTGTGTGTGTGTGTGCGTTAAAGGTTAAAGGCTATATCGGTGTCCAACAGCCAGACTGAGGTCTATTTCAGTTCTTTGAGGAAATTTCCCCCTGAGAGACGCTGTGTAAATTGGTGCCTGAGTTATTGCAAAGTCACTTTGCCGTCAACATGAACAGAAACGAGTTTGTAAAAATCAAAGCCCACACATCCAGGTTTTTCTTAGAAAGTATTAACTAAAAATGTTTGCTAGCTTGTCCAAGTGGCTTCATCTGTTGTTGATACACCGTGATGTGTTCAGACTAACAAACCAGGAGTTGCATTCCCAATAGTTTGAATTGTGATTATTGAAAAATTGAGGTGAAACTGTATGAAGATTGCACAGACATGTGCAGTCTCAGTTTTCAGAATGCTATTTCTGTTGAATGGTATCAATTTAAATCTCTAGCGAAGTGACAATTTCTAATTTCCTTCCTCTCCTTTCTTCTCTAGGTATATTTTGGTCGCTGGCTGATTGAAGGCTCTCCATATGTGATTCTGCTAGACGTGGGCTTCACGGCCTGGTCTCTGGACCGCTGGAAGAGTGAACTCTGGGAGAATTGCAGTATTGGTGTGCCCTGGTTCGATAGAGAGGCCAACGATGCTATTCTCTTTGGCTTCCTCACTGCATGGCTACTGGGAGAGGTGTGCAGTTTTGTTTTAGTATTATTTATACACTGTTGTAGTATTTATTAATATTTTGAAATCGCTTTTTTGTATTTTCAGTTTTCATTTTAATTTTAGTTTGTTTCATTTTTTTTGTTATGTCCTTTTGTTGTTTTGTTCGTTTTTTTTTTAATATATTTCTAGTATCAAGAGTTTTAGTTGTAGTAATTTTAGTACTTTAACGTCAAAATTATTTATTTCAGTTAAGTTTACGTTTTACATCTAAAATTTATATTAGGATTTATCTCTGCTTTATTTTAATTTACAACAACTTAAGAGTTTTAATTTTAGTTAACTATAGCAACATGGGAGGTGTGTGTCAGTCTGTCTTTTTATAATATCTATATTAATAGTGTAAATGTGCATGTTATTTTCCCAACAAAACTCAATGGGAAAAAAAGTTATAATTAGTTAATAGAAATTAAATAGCCATGTGCTTATGCCTATTTCCTATATTTTGGTTATCCAGTGAATTACATTTTTTGTAAAAGATACATCAACTTGGACACCCCCCCCCCACAATATTGTTGATTCTCATTAATCAAAATTTGAATATGTTTCAGTATGCAGCTCAATGTGACGAACCTCCTCACATCGCAGCGCATTTTCACGAGTGGCTGGCAGGTTTGGGGCTCGTCTTATGCAGGCAGCGTCAATTACCCGTAGCAACCATCTTCACCACACATGCCACACTGCTTGGCCGATACCTGTGTGCTGGGAACGTTGACTTCTACAACAACCTTGCTGAGGTTTGTGTGAGAGAATGTGTTTTTGTGGATATATGATATGTCCTCATTACTGTTTATATTGTTTAACCCACACCTCCTCGCCAGATAGAATCAGATTTCTTTAGAAAACTTTCCCTGTTTTTTAAGCACATTTTGGTTTGACACCAAGATGATGCTCTAATTGGATAAACAGATAGTTAAAGGTGGCGTAAGGGATTTCTGGTAGCCAATGTTGATATTTCAAATCACCAAAACAAACACGCCCCTACCCCAAAAGGGTCTCGCCCCTATTTTGATAGCTCTACCCCACATATACGTACCCAGGCAACGATTAGTTCTGTGAAACTAAGCAACCGGACGCGAGTGGCGCAGTGCAGCTCGACAAAATACTATAGAACTCGTTATAATCAGTGATGCTGTCTACACCATAGATATATATACATATCAATGGTGTACACTGGATGCGGCGTGGCACGACACGACAAATCCCCGACAGAAAACTGCTGCTGTTTTCTATTTATGACTTATTGACACAAATTTCAAATGATTTTCAGCGGTCGCTTTGTCGCGTCCTGTGTACTAGACAGACTTTAGCTGTTGCGGCGCAGACACGGTGTTTCTCCCCTATCGAGAAGAAACAAAGCAACCTCGGCGTATGATCGCAGGCCTTCCGCTCCTTGAGTTCTCTCCAGCGCTGGAAAGCTGATTCAATATTTACACGGGTCCTACGTCTTGCTTTATCGTAAGCCTTCTTTTGTTCCGCAGATGTTTTCCTCCTTTGTTTTTTATCCACCATCTCTATCTTTCTGTCGCTCGGCTCGGCTAATGTCCGTCCTGTGCACTGAACCCTCTCTCCTCCACATCATGAGTAGACACGCCCCTTACTGCTGATTGGCTACAAGTTTGTTTTGGTACTCGGCCCGACTGAGTTTTCTAAAGAGTTTTTGAAAAAATCCATACCCCACCTTTAATTTAAAGAAAGCTTCCTGAAGTGTCTGTGGTTATTTCTCCATGCGTAGTTTAATGTGGATAAAGAGGCAGGTGACCGGCAGATCTATCACCGGTACTGTCTGGAGCGCGCAGCAGTCCGCTGTGCACACGTCTTCACCACCGTCTCTCAGATCACCGCCATTGAGGCCGAGCACTTACTAAAACGGAAACCAGGTGACTTAAGTTCCTGCTTGTACTGCTTTCTCTACATCCTAATAGCTACAAAATGCAGTCATGAATCAGTCAGATGACAGAATTTAAAATGTCATCATGTGCAGATTGATCTGGTATTAGAAAGGGATTCTGGCTTCATTTCATTACTGTGGATGCTACCTGATTTAGTTCAGAACTGGACTTTTGCCAGGAAGCTGCTGCTTTTTGACCCTATTTGGTCTATTTGCTAAAGATACCCACGTTCATCTTTCTCTGTCAGATATTGTGACTCCAAACGGCCTGAATGTGAAGAAGTTCTCAGCCATGCACGAGTTCCAGAACCTCCACGCTCAGAGTAAAGCGCGCATCCAGGAGTTTGTCAGAGGCCATTTCTACGGGTCAGAGCTCATAAGACAATCGTCATGCAATCGTATTCATGTGTACATCTGCAAAACACTCTCTCATACACTGCTGTTCAAAAGTTTGGGATTTTTAATGGTCTCTTCTGCTCATCAAGGCTGTATTTGTTTAATCAGATATACAGAAAAAACGGCAATATTGTCAAATATTATAACAATTTTAAAAAGCAGTTCTCTATTTTAAAATTTAATTTATTCCTGTGATAAAAGCTGAATTTTCATCAGCCATTACTTTCCGGTTACCAGTGTCACATGATCCTTCAGAAATCATTCTAATATGTTGATTTGATACTCCGTTAATATCAGCATTGGAAACAGTTGTGCTGCTTAATATTTTTTTGGAACCTGTGAGCAGGACTTTTTGATAAATAAAAAGTAAACATAATTTATTTGAAATATAAATATATATATATATATATATACAGTGGGTACGGAAAGTATTCAGACCCCCTTAAATTTTTCACTCTTTGTTATATTGCAGCCATTTGCTAAAATCATTTAAGTTAATTTTTTTTCCTCATTAATGTACACACAGCACCCCATACCCACTGTATATATATATATATATATATAATAGTCTAAAAATATAAGGTTTTACTATCACATCCTTGCTGAATAAAAATATTAGTTTCTTTCAAAAAAGAAAGAAAAAAAAGTACTGACCCCAAACTTTTGAATGGTAGTGTATATTGTAACAAAGGATTTCTATTTTGAATAAATGCTGTTCTTTTGAACTCTTTATTCATCGAAGAATCCTGAAAAGAAATATCACAGGTTTCCAACATTGATTATAATCAGCATATAGAATGATTTCTGAAGGATCATGTGACACTGACGACTGGAGTAATGATGCTGAAAATTCAGCTTTACCATCACAGGAATAAATTATATTTCAAAGTATATTAATATAGAAAACTTATTTTAAATTGTAATAATATTCCACAGTATAACTTTTTTTTTTTCTCTGTTGTTTTTTTTTAAGCAAATGCCTGAACTCAGCCTTGATGAGCAAAAGAGACTTAAAATCTTACTGATCCCAAACTTTTGAACAGCAGTGTACATGTTTTCTCTTCTTGTTTTTTGTGCAGGCATTTAGATTTTAACCTTGACAAGACCGTGTTTCTCTTCATTGCTGGACGCTATGAATTCTCAAATAAAGGAGCTGATATCTTTCTTGAAGCATTGGCCAGACTTAATTACCTGCTGAGGGTCAGTATTGCGTTTTAGGATGTATGTGCATTCGATAAGTCACAATACAAACACAAAATGTTATAAAGATGAAGAATCTTTTTTAGAAAAGGTTTAAATTTGATTTGAAACAAAATTCTTGTACATCCAGGTGAATCACAGTGATGTGACCATAATAGCATTCTTCATCATGCCTGCTCGTACCAACAACTTCAACGTGGAGACCCTGAAGGGCCAAGCCGTACGGAAACAGCTCTGGTAACCATGACAACTGCACTGTGAGGACTGCTAACCAAAATGACACCGTTTAGCTCCGACTACTCGCTTAAAATAAACAACAATCAAGTTGTGTTGAAAGCACATTTATTTTAGAATTATTTATGTACTCTTATAGTATTTATTGATATTTTGAATTGGCTCTTATTATTTATTTTATTATTAGTTTTAGTAATTTTATGATGTGCTTTTGACATTTTATATTAGTTTGTTTTTAAAATATTATTTATTTAAAGTTTTTTTTTTTAAATTCAGTTTTGTTTTAGTTTGAATAATTTTAGTAATTCAGCATTAACTTATTTTTTTTGTCAACTTATTTTCAGTTAGTTGCCAGGTTTTTAACTTTAAGCATCTCATCTAATAAATATTTTCAGCTTTAAAAAAAAAAAAAAAAGTTTTTGATCATTTTAGTTTTAGGTTTACTTAACAATAACAACACTGGCCTAGAGCATCCTAACACAACTACACGTTTTCTTTTGTCTTTCTGCAGTGAATGATGGATGTGTGATGATGTAGGAAGGAATTTATTTATTTGCTTGTTTGTTCATTCATTCATTTTTATTTATTTATATGTTTAATAAACAGTAGTCATAATGTCACCTGATTGAATAGAGTAGTTAAAATTATTAAAACTAAATGTTTTATTTACTCACACTCATATTCAAAAACCCGTAGACAATTTTCCCCCAAATTTTTGCTTGGACTCAGGGACTGTTGAAGCAGTGAATGAATGTTGTTGTGACATTGCATCTTTGTTGTATTGTCAGGGACACTGCTCAGACTGTGAAGGAGCGCTTTGGGAAGAAACTCTACGAATCACTTTTAGTGTGAGTTGGTTTTTGTGTTTCAGCTGTATTATGTCATCTCTTCTGAGGCGTGACATTGTTCTCTTTCTCGTTGTTAGAGGGCAGCTGCCTGATGTGTCTAAGATGTTAGATAAAGAGGACTTCACCATGATGAAACGTGCCATCTTCGCCACCCAGCGCCAGTGCCTGCCCCCCGTCTGCTCTCACAACATGCTGGAGGACAGCAGTGACCCCATCCTCAACTGCATCCGCCGTATCGGCCTCTTTAATACCGCTCAGGACAGAGTCAAGGTATATACACACACACACACACACACACACAAACACTATACTATAATCGATGTATTCAACGGTAATTTATGTAAAAAAATACTTAATGCACCTTTAATGCCTCATATTCTTCTGCTAGGTGATCTTCCATCCAGAGTTTCTCTCCTCCACTTCTCCTCTCCTGCCGATGGACTATGAGGAGTTTGTGAGAGGCTGCCATCTTGGAGTATTTCCATCCTACTATGAGCCCTGGGGATACACACCAGGTAAAACTACACATACTATGTATATGTGTGTGTGTATGTACAGTATATGTATATACAGTGGGTACGGAAAGTATTCAGACCCCCTTAAATTTTTCACTCTTTGTTATATTGCAGCCATTTACAAAAATCATTTAAGTAAATTTTTTTTCCTCCATGGTGTATATATACCATTTAAAAGTTTGGTCAGTAACATGGTAACATTGTTTTAGTATATAAACAAGATATTATATCTCTTGTTATACTTACAAGAAATATTTTTAGTATTTAAATATTTTAAATATTTCAGAATTCATACATTATATTTATCAAAGTGAGCGTAAATGCGTCACTTTTTTATAGTTTTGACATTGAGAATAAGAAATGTTTCTTGAGCACCAAATCAGCATGTTAGAATAATTTCTGAATGATCATTTGATATTTTAAAAAAACATTATTTCACAGTATTACTGGTGTAACTGTATTTTTAATACAAATAAATGCAGCCTTGGTGAGCATAAAGAGACTTCTTTCAAAAACCTGAAACAGACTTACTGACCCCAAACTTTTGAATGGTAGTTTGTGAACTCTGTATTAATAACATCCACTTAACACAATGCACACATCTTTTTTTTTTTTTTTAGCTGAATGTACAGTGATGGGTATCCCATCGATCTCCACTAACCTGTCTGGGTTTGGCTGTTTCATGGAGGAGCACATTGCTGACCCGTCAGCTTATGGTGAGAGTTGTACATATACAATGGAACTAATGAACAGCAGCTACAAGATTTTCTCATTTTTGTTTGAATCAGTTTTATTTAGTTTCATTGTGTAATGTACATTTTTGTTAACTCTTAACTTTTCAGGTATCTATATTCTGGATCGACGGTACCGTGGGGTGGATGAGTCCTGCAATCAGCTGACGTCTTTCCTGTTTCAGTTCTGTCAGCAGAGCCGCAGGCAGAGGATCATTCAGAGGAACCGAACAGAGCGCCTCAGTGACCTGCTAGATTGGAGATATTTGGGCAGGGTCAGATACTACACACACACAAAACACACAGTGAATTGCTTTTCTGACCACCAAGGACCCATGTTGTGTCCACTTTCTGTATCAAAACAACAAAACTAACAGGTTATTGTTCATGAACTAATATAGCATATTTCTGTTTCTTAGTATTACATATCTGCCCGCCATATGGCTTTAGCGAAAGCTTTCCCGGACACATTCATCTATGAGCCTCAAGAACCCACTTCGGTAAGTTAAAAATGATGAAGGGTGAAATTGAAATTGTTTGTCCGTTTTATTTTAAGTTGAATTATCTAGACCAGTGATTCTCAACCAGAGATTCAGCATGACTTAAAATAATTTAAGATAAGACGACAACAACCATTACAATAAGCTAAAATAGCTACAAGTCAAGATTTTTTGTGTTAGTTCACGTCCTCAATGTATTTTTCCTTTGAAAACCCTGGATATGAGATTTTATAAATGTGATATCTAATCACATTTAAATTATTAAAGTCTTATTTCCATGCTAATTTTAATGTTTAAGGAATTTATATTTACTTATGCCAAGCTGTAAAAAAAAAAAAAACGGCAAAAAAGGGGCACCTCTGACAGCTCTGGACAGCTGTCTTAAAAACTGGATGTAAATATTTGTTGACCTATATTATTTCATTTACATAATTCAGGCCACAGGCTTCCGTTACCCGCGGCCCGCCTCTGTGCCCCCGTCTCCCGCCCACTCGCTTCACTCATCTCCTCATCACAGTGAGGCTGAGGATGAAGAGGAACCATATGATGAAGATCTGGAGGCGGAGAAAGACCGGGTCAACATCCGCCAACCTTTCAACATGCCGAACCGGAACAAGAATCAGACAGTTAGTCTTCCTGAGAAAAACTAAAACACACCCCTACATGCATACCTACACACTCTGTAGTTTATACTGTGAGGCACTTGTATACACTGTGACACACACACACACACACACATAACACTCCCCTAAAAGTGAAAGTAAAGCCTGCAAACAGTATGTCTACATGTTGGTTTTCTGAAGAGAAATAAATAAGATATTTAATTATTTGGTGAGCCATAGTATGTGATTTTAAGACTTTCTGTTGAAAGATTTCTCTGGTGTCTTTCATAAGAAGCTTAGTAAAAAAACAACAACGGATTAAATAGTAGCTAGAGTTATTCATATGACAATTCATACCAAATTGTCATCTAGCTGTGTGCCGCTGACTTTCACATGGCCACTGTTAAAAGACGATACAAATAAATGTGAAATGATAAAAATAAACGTTACAAACATTTTTAAAGAGACCTTTATTAGGAATGGTTTAAGAAAAAAACATTATTTATACACTCTTTAAAAGAGCTGTACGACTTTGTTCTTCCATGGAACACAAAAGAAGAGGTTTTGAAGAATGTTCATGTTATATATTTCTATATAAAAAATTAACACAGAGGGTGATCAGGGCCAAACAATTATAATATGAATATCATACAAATAGTCCTTAAAACTCACACTTTAGGTCTTCTGAAGTCATACAGTATCTTTATATGAAGGACAGACCCAAATTTAAGCTGTTTACTTTAAATCATGGTTTGACAGTCCTAGTAATTATTCACTTTCACTGTGCTAATTTCAAAGAGCTAAACTTTTCTTTGTGTGTTTCACGAAAGCAAGAAATGTATACATCTTTTAAAAGACTTTAGATTGCATAAATGTACTGTATTCTGAAAACATTCTTACAGTGCTTTACTCACTGCCAGATTTCCCTTCACAGTATTATGTACCGTCACAAACACAGTAACTATCCAGAAGTTTTCTAGGGTTATTTTAAAAAAAGGGTTTCAGTTAAATGACAAGCAATTGATGTAGGTAAAGCTAACCAGCCAAACGGATACACTGGAACATTGGTACTGTAATACAAATATACACCAGCACTGTTAGAGTTTGTCATGTCTATCACAGCTGTAAAACTGAAATTAAAGTCTACAACATTATTACCATTACACTTGTTTTATTAATTCATCATGTGCCACATCGTGTGTTTTTCTTCGGTAAACTTTCTGCAGCAATCCACTGTTATCAACACAGATATACCCTCCCTCCATGACCCTTGCAGACTGAAAAAAGACAAACAGAAATTCAAATGACACAGAGAGATATGTAACCGCATATTCGTGTACCATTTTGGACTTTGTTAAATTTTAACAGAACAGAAAGCAAAGTGGACGGTTCCAAAAGATGTTTTTTTATGCTTGCGTTCTCTGTGTAAATCCAGATTTGGCTAAAGATGTTCAGTGCATACTGGGGTTTTAGGCAGTGCACTGCATCGGTTTACTCCATCTGTCTTTCTTATACATACCCAGTAAGCTGCTCCAGAAGGAATTGTATGTGGCATTTCCTGTTACAGCTCCCAGTTTGGCGGGGTTTTGTCTCACTGTTTTCACTGTGAACCCATCTGGACCAGTTACCTCAACCTCCACAATATGGTAGTCTGATAATCTGGAGAGAAGGGGAAAGAGAGATTCCAGTAACACTCGCGTTACAAATCCTATAGCTCATACTAATGGTTAGTCGTACTAATGGTACATTTTCTTTACTTGAGCCACCTAGCAGCATGATAAAAGTCATTCTGAATCCTATAGATATTACAGGACATAGCAACGCCCAAGCACCACCCAAAAACTGATTGGAGAAGTCTGGCATTTCACCAGAAGGTCCTTATTTTGATTAAGAATTACAAGCTTGAATAAAAAAGAAAAATAGAAACATGCATGACTGAGTCATTTACAGTAAGATCAATATGTTTTAATTTCATGCCAACTTTAAAAGTGGCCTGGTCTATGTATGGAGGCAGTTTTCTGTGTAACGGAAAGGTTTTGAGTGTTAATGTCAGGTTTTTGAGGTCCAGTTTGCGACTCACGCAGTGTCTGAGACTATTTCTCCGGTAACCCCATTGAAGCCCAGCTTTGATGCGGCTATAGCCGCAGCTGCCATAGTGTTCACATTATTTGGGGCGATGGGGCAGAGCTCTGCTACTGAGCCGTGGTACAAGACCCGCCTCCCCTCTCCCTCCCTCCAATCGGAGAGCAGACCACCAGTCAGCCGAAAGCAAGAGGGATGTTTAGACATTCGGATGGAGAGAGCCTATAAGAGAGACATTTGAAATTTACTTTCATATAATTTCATGTGGCAGGGACAATGACACTTATGTTGAACTTAGTTTTGGATAATATGTAGTATTTTTATTTAGGCAGACCACCCCTTGGAGATAAATGTTTTTTTTTTATGGACAGTTAGATTTAAATTTTGAACAGTGCTTGAATTCCTTGTATTAAAAAAAATAATTATAAGAAAATAGTCTTACCCGTAAAGTTCCACTGTCATTCATTTTTTGAATATCTTGGCCACCCCATAATGCACCACTGGGCACATAAAGTGTTTTCCCATGTTGTTTTGCAGCATTGCGAAGATCTTGCTCAAGCTGGGGGTCAGAAAGGGCAGAAGGGCTGCCCACCTGAGGAAGGGAAAGCATGATTAGAGACAGTTTTAACAATTACTTGGGCAGTACAGCTAATTATCATTATGAAATAAATGTAAATACTATGACAGACAGGATTTCAGGTGAAAATATAAAGGATAGACTTAAGTTACCAGGAAGTGAGCATGTGACAGAAATCTGATGCCAAACTCTTTAACTATCATTGGATGGCACACCTCCACTATTACATCGGTGTCTCTGAAACGCCAAACACACATAAAACACCTGTAAAGTGTCACAGTAACACGCTCTGTTTTGCAGTCTCTTAAACAAATATTCAACAAGCGTATATAAACTTTATATATACAAATACAAAATTTACTTGCGTGTGAAATCTGAGAGGTCATGTAGAATCAGCTCTTTGGGCAGTGAATCTCTAAGTTTGTCTGCATTTCGGTTCCAAACAAATGCTAACTGCAGTCCTGCCTCAGGTCCTTCCTTTTGGATCTTCTCAACAAGAAACTGGCCTGAAAAAGGAGAAGAGATTAAATACACATGTTCTGACAGAACATGAACTGATACTGAACATAAGAGTGATTACAGCTCTACAGCAACATTAGATTTCAAGTGCAAATTTAATCAAAGTAGAGAAAGTTGTGGCTCTTGAAACAGAAGTTTTCATTGGAGAACTCACCTAAATGTCCATATCCCACGATTCCAACCTTTAAAGCTCTATCAGTCATCTCTAAAAAGTGAGATAAGGGATTCAGCAGATGAATCATGAAATTATTTTTCTTATTGGTCGGTCTGCTAAAGTAGTTCAAGAGAGCTTATTATTATTCACATCTACACAATAACAAATGTAATTCTGTAAACTCTAGAACATCAAACCAGCATGCACTAGATTTATTCCCCCACACATGTTCTTGATTCAAACTTTGGCTCCTCCCCTTTTTCATTTTCTCCACCTTCCTTTATCACGAACACACTGATCTCACCGGCACAATTTGTCCTCACAACCTTCACTTACTTGCTAATTCCTCACCTTTTCTCTATCACTCTCTCTTTCTTCTCGATGTCCGCCGATCTCTCCCTTCGCTGTTTGAACTTGAGAGACTGTGGGATAGAGCAGGTTAAAGTGCATGTTGGCCAGGATTGTTAATGATTAGACTCTGTGTGAATCCATTGGCTTTGGATATTTTAAAGGAGCACTGTAGTATTATTCATGATGGAAAAAGTGATTTTTAAAGTTATTTTAGTGTCTTTGAGATACTATTACGTTTTATTATTAGTTTGATTCATTTTAATTTTTATATTCTGCATTATCATTTTATTTTTGTTAAAGGTTTAGTAATTTTTTTTTCATTTGTAAAATTATTTTAGTTTTTAAAAAATGTCTATATTGTTTTTATTTTTATGTTAGTTTTAGTTATTTTAGTGCATCAAGTTTTAAAAATATTTTTATTTATTATTTCGTTTACATTAGGCTATTTCAAGTAACAAAAATCTACATACACGTCTCAAATCACACTTATTAACAAATGTATGACAACAATTTTATATTATACTTTAAATGAGAAAAGTATGACAATAATTCCCCCTTTTTATATCATAACACTTTAGCTCTGTGGCGCCCTCAAGTGGGTAAAAGTGGGGGAAATGGCAATATCTCCAGAATTGCAACAGATTTTACAACCATGCTGTTAAAACCACTAACAACTGAGAAGCTAATGATCAATAAGAACTAGAACGAATAAGTAGTAGAGTAATTATTAGAATAATTACAAGATGTAAAAAAATACATATTATATTTATAAAAATGATGTGTGTTGTCTATGCTTACTGACACCTACATGTACATCATAAAGTGAATGAGCTGAAAGAAGCTGAAAAGACATCAAACAGACGGGGAAAGATGCTTTTCTAGTATTAATAAAAAGTTTATCTCTCTGAACTTGTGTCTCAATCATCAAACCTTTGCTCTTGGCGATGATGTCGCTACAGGGTAACAGGCCATAATGCAGAGAGAAACCTAGACGGAGAGAGAGAGACAGGCACAGAAACAGAGAGAGAGAGTGAGGGGTGTATGTTGTTTATGACAGAACAATCTGACAGATAACGCATCACTCATAATGGTCCAAAGTCCAGACCTACCCCAGCCAATGTAACACCCTGGCATACATAGTTGACAGAGGTATTGCAGATCTCGCAGCTGTGGAATATGTGGCCCACATCTGAGAAGGCTGCGTGTGTGACTGTTTAGGCCAGAAGACAGAGATGGACATCCTGGAAACGAGTGCTCATGACCGCAGACAACGCAGGAACACGGTAATCACAGCAAACACACACACACACCTGCGTACAAATACAGACACCTGTGTTCTGCTCTTGTGGGCCTATTTGTGCACTTCTACCACATCCAGTTTACTCATTTAGATCCACATTTAGTCACAAAATAATTTTTCTAGCTTAGAATCACACACACACATCCTGTGTGATTTTCTTTTATAATAAAGATATTTGCATTTAATGTTTAATTAAAGTGTTGTAATACTGATCGAATTCTGTTTAGAGCACAGCAAGTGCAGACTGTATTTTTTTTTAATAAAAATCATGCCTGTATTGTTTTCATTTTTTTCTCCATCTCTTGTTTTCCAGACCTGTGTGCTGTTTCTTTATCTCCTCCCTTTTTTTGCATCCTGTACGATATACTTCTACCTGTGGATCCCAGACTCCGCCCCCTCTCTTCTGGCCGCTGGCATTAAGGCCGCTCCCATCCTCTGTCTGGTCCTTCTGGTGCTCAGCTATAATGGGGGGTGGGGTCTAGTGGGCGTGGCTGGAGGGTTGCTGCTCTCAGCGGGCGGAGACTGTTGCCTTATTTGGCCAGAACTTTTTATCCATGGTAAAGGTTATTTCTTCCTGTCCCATACCTTAATTTAAGACAATCAGGGTTACTATCCAGGTCATATTTCATTATAAAGTCAAGAGGGGAACAAACTTTTCTTACTTTTCACACTTTTTCATACTATTTTAAGACCATAAGGCACAATAATATATTATTATTACTATAATTTAAATTGTGAAGTGTTTGTGTATCACATTGATTTTTTCCCCTGTTTTTGTTTTAAGCGCGCGCACGTGTGTGTGTGTGTACAGTATTACAGTAATAAGAATAAAATGATCACCTTTCAGAATAATGGAATTTTCTAAAAAGTTAATTACAAATTATATTAATTTATATTCACATTTGTTATTATATTTTCATTTTGGTTTACTTTACATTTTATTTCCATTTTAATATACACTTATAACAACTGATATTATTAATTACTAATTTCTCCATGGCAGTGTTGTTGTAATATTAATAGTTTGAATTAGTTTTTTATTTTTTTCATTTTAATTTTGATAATTTTTTTTGTTGTGTTTTTGTCATCGAGTTTTTTATGGTTGTAGTTTTAGTTAACTATAATAGCTCTGCATCACAGTCTTATCTCTGTCTTTTTTTCTTTTTTTTTTAGGACTGGGCTGTTTTGCTCTGGCCCACTTGCTTTACTCTATTTCCTTCCTGTCCTCTCGATATTCTGCAACATCTTCGTCTGCCTCGTACTTTATTCTCTACCTCATCCTGTGGTTGTTCGGCATTGGAATGTATGCTTACCTGGTGCCCTTCCTACGGCTTGAACCAGAAGCTGACCTTCTCGTCCCAGCCATAGGGGGTTACATACTGCTCATTGTTATCATGGCCACACTGGCTGCTCGTACACGGCGGCCGCTCATCCTGCTGGGCAGCCTGGTCTTCATGGCTTCTGACCTCACGATTGCACTGACAAAGTTCAATGTCTTTGATGTAGAATACAAAAAGCACATTATTATGACAACATACTACCTGGCACAGCTGATGATTGCGCTGGGTGACGTGAAGGCAGTGCTGGAGGAGGATGCTGATGATATCCACAAGTGGAAGAGATCATAAGACTGCTGTTGATGACTGATGTTGGTTCAGTGAAAGGTTAATCACTGTATAAAATGGTTACAGGACATGCTTACTGTACATCCCTAAATATAAGAAATATTACACAGTCTGACCTATCAACTAAGACTTTTGTCTAGCTTCACTACAGCAGATGAACTTGGCCTAACAGACTCTGCTGAACTGAACTGATTTGATTACATTTAAAACAACTGTATGTAGTTTTGCCCATCTCTGCGACTTTGGAGCCCCCAACAGTTAAGTGAATGGAATTCAATGTCGTAAATACCACTGTTGTAAAGCAATCCGCCCTTTTCGTGGCATTTCGTACCTGCTCAACAAAGAATTAGGCCCTACATATTCCCAGAACAGACATTTTGGGGCTAGTGTGAGAAAGAAACCGAATTCCTTTGACTTGTTAGAAGTCAGTGTACCTTCAGAATGATTTTGAAACCGGTATTCCAAAGACAATAATCTTACATACAGTTGCTAAAGGTATTAAATATTTCTTATCCAACACAAATATTTATGCTCCGATGCTCCACGATACTCTAACCTTTGCTAGTTTCTAGAGCAGAGATGAGTCTGTCACATATAGTAATATAGCACATGAAGTCACAGTGTTACAGATTTGTTTATTGACTGATTCATGGTACTTTGTAATTCTGTTGACTTTATGTAATGAATATATTATAGTATAGGCTAAAACATCATGGAATGTTGTGTTTTTGTGGCATGCAATCCAAAAGTCAGAGATCACTTTTAAATAAAATAAAAGCATAGCGAGAAATTCTCAACTTTGTGTGTTTTTAAAATCAGTTATTACCATTTGGTGATACATTTTTATAATATAATTTGTAAATTAACAACAAAGTAAAAAACATTTGATTAATTTGTGGAAAAATAGCTTAATGTTTTGGATCTTAATAGACTAAATTATTATGAAAATTAAATTAATAATGTTATCGACAAAAAAAACTTCCTCGAATTGAAGTGATTTGAAAGGTGCATAGAGCTGCGTCATGAAAAATCAATCGTTCGCACAGCGCCATCTTGCGTTTATCTTGCGTTGTGTATGAGAGGAAAGATTCCGTGTTCCAAAATCACACCAGAACTCTAAGAGGCTTCTCTGCGGTGAAGCTGGTCCTCACGACAGGAATGAACTTGTACCCATTTAATTTGTGAATGAATAATGAAGATTTTGGAAACACCATGCGGCGTTTGGGTAATGAAGAAACGTTCACATTCCGACGCTAGGAGGATATAAGTGAATAAACGACAACGGGTGAGCACATTGTCAAAGGAAAATTGAAAGAAATAATCTCAACAATGTAAATACAACACGTGTTTATGCGCTTAAAACCAGCGTTTATGAGGCGAGTTTTCATCTTTTTTGTCAGGTAAGTATTTACGCCTTTTCCCATTAAGTTCCCAAACTTATTCGAACATGAAGATAATAGATGAATATATTGTGCAGATATATATATATATATACATATACACAGGTGCATCTCAATAAATTAGAATGTCATGGAAAAGTTCATTTATTTCAGTAATTCAACTCAAATTGTGAAACTCGTGTATTAAATAAATTCAATGCACACAGACTGAAGTAGTTTAAGTCTTTGGTTCTTTTAATTGTGATGATTTTGGCTCCCATTTAACAAAAACCCACCAATTCACTATCTCAACAAATTAGAATATGGTGACATGCCAATCAGCTAATCAACTCAAAACACCTGCAAAGGTTTCCTGAGCCTTCAAAATGGTCTCTCAGTTTGGTTCACTAGGCTACACAATCATGGGGAAGACTGCTGATCTGACAGTTGTCCAGAAGACAATCATTGACACCCTTCACAAGGAGGGTAAGCCACAAACATTCATTGCCAAAGAAGCTGGCTGTTCACAGAGTGCTGTATACAAGCATGTTAACAGAAAGTTGAGTGAAAGGAAAAAACGAGTTTCACAATTTGAGTTGAATTACTGAAATAAATGAACTTTTCCACGACATTCTAATTTATTGAGATGCACCTGTATATACAAATTAGATGTGTACCAATCATTTTCTATTATTATTTCTTATTCATCCTGTACAAATGAAAAAATACAGGCAAGTTTGTGTCGTAAGAAAACCATCAGTTGCTTGATAGTAATTAACCTCACAAAAGGGCCCATTTATCCTCAAAATAACTCCGCAATCAGCAAGCATAATGATAGCAGGGTGTCAGTTGTAATGACTTGTTGTTTTCTTCCTGTTTCCTGTTTGTTTTTGGAGTCTTAAGCTGGTGTGCTTTTCCTCCTCCTGATGTTCAGCTTCCTCTGGGAGGGTCATGCTTTGGCCAGCTGCCTTTCTCTCACTTTCATGCTTCTTCTGCACATCTTGGATGTGTGCATGTCAGAGTCCCACCATGCAGAATGCCCAGAGAGCTGCTTCTGCTCAGAGAGTGTCGACAGTGGGCTGATGGTCCGTTGTAGAGACATGAACTTAATTGCGGTGCCACATGGCCTTCCGAACAACACACGACATCTATACCTAGACAACAACCTGCTTTTTACCATACCATCTGATTCATTTATAGGGCTCCCACTGCTGTTCAGACTAGATCTTTCCCACAACAGGTTGGTCCATCTGGAGCCTGGAGCCTTTCGAGGCCAAGCGGACTCGTTAAGCAGCCTGGACCTTTCTTTTAACCTGCTGGAGACACTGGACCCCGAGGCGTTTGGCGACCTCAGAGCCCAGACTAACCTCTCTCATAACCCCTGGCTATGTGACTGCCGTCTGCAGCTGGCTATGCCACAGCTGCTCTTAGATCCCTCCTCCCTCGCTGAGGTGGTGTGCAACACTTCTGAACCTGAGGAGTTGGGAGCTCAAGGTATGCCCTTCATCCTGGTAGCGACTGATCTTGACTTCTGCGCAGCACTCCGGAGGACCACTGACTTTGCTATGCTAATAACAATGTTTGGCTGGTTTACAATGGTTATATCCTATTTAGTGTACTATGTAAGGCACAACCAAGAAGATGCTATTCGGCATCTAGAGTATCTCAAGTCTCTCCCAAACAGGCAGGACAGATCTGGGGAGTCACTGACACGCAGCACCTGGTTGTAACATAAATAAGAAAAAATACTGAATCTACTTCAAAACTTTTTTTGGAGTGATAAGATGAAAATGAAAGATTCTTAGATTGTGCTTGTTAAAGGGACAGTTCACCCAAAAAGGAAAATTCTGTCATTCATTACTCACCCTCATGTTGTTACAAATCCGTAAGACCTTCATTCATCTTGGGAACACAAATTAAGATATTTTTGATGAAATCTGAGAGCTTTCTGACCCTCCATAGACAACAAAGCAACTGACACCTTCAAGGCCCAAAAAGGTAGTAAGGACATCAATAAATAGTCCATGTGACATCAGTGATTCATTCTTAATTTTATGATTTTATTTATCCCTTTAATGTACAATGTTTCAAATATGCTATTTGAATGCTTGGATTTGTCAGTTGATTGTTTTGTGCTGTTTTAGTAAATCACTTTTATAGGTGTCTTTAATAAGTTTGAAATATGCATAAACAAATAGTTAAAGAACCAAATTTTATTTTTGCTTGCTTTTTAGTTTATATTTGTTGGCTTTGAGTCATCTGTAAGTTCTTAATGTGGACACATTTTATTTTGAGCAGATATATACCTTTATGTTCTCTTTTATAAAAACACCAAAATATTCAAGACTGATCCTGCACTACACAGATATCATAAACTCTCAAGAATGAAAATGTCCCTCCCACAAATACAGCGTGCCATTGACAAGCAGTACCAGCTAGCAAATCATAGTTCATGGCTTCATGTTAAAAAGGGAAAATCTCTTTGATGTCCTGACAACCATAAAAAAGAAAAGAGTAAATAGTAAAAAAAAAAAAAGTCTTTAATGGCATGGTGCAATATACATTGAAAACAACTGAGAATGTTTGTTCATTCTTGGTATGTTGATACTTTGGTAACCATTTCTTTAGGATAAAGGACCAACTGAAAAAGAGGTATAGTCATGTTAATTTTGATATGAGTGAAAAAGCTTTTCTTAAAGGCTTTCTTGGGTTAAAGAATGTGCCTTTCAAAATAGGAAACACATGTACATATATTAAATGCTGAGAGTTTTTTGCAGGGTTTTGTTTCACTTGCACAATTTAGACTTCAATAACCCTGTATGAGGTTATGTGTATCATACTGTATCCAATTGAAATAAAGAGAAATACTGATCTGGGCTTGGGTTCAGTACTTCTAAGAAGAGCAGGGAGAGTTGGATTCAGATTACATTTAATAACTACAGTATCTCACAGAAGTGAGTACACCCCTCACATTTTTGTAAATATTGTATTATATCTTTTCAGGTGACAACCCTGAAGAAATCACACTTTGCTACAATGTAAAGTAGTGAGTGTACAGCTTGTATAGCAGTGTAAAGTGGTCTTGGCCACCATGCTGCAGCTCAGTGTCAGGGTCTTAGCAATCTTCTTATAGCTTACGCTATCTTTATGTAGAGCAACAATTCTTTTTTCAGATCCTCTGAGAGTTCTTTGCCATGAGGTGTCATGTTGAACTTCCAGTGACCAGTATGAGAGAGTGAGAGCAATAACACCAAATTTAACACACCTGCTCCCGCATTCACACCTGAAACCTTGTAACACTAATGAGTCACATGACACAGGGGAGAGAAAATGGCTAATTGGACCCAATTTAGACATTTTCACTTAGGGGTGTACTCACTTTTGTGGCCAGCGGTTTAGACATCAATGGCTGTGTGTTGAGTTATTTTGAGGGGACAGCAAATTTACACTGTTATACAAGCTGTACACTCACTACTTTACATTGTAGCAAAGTGTGATTTCTGCAGTGTTGTCACATGAAAAGATATAATAAAATATTTACAAAAATGTGAGGGGTGTACTCACTTCTGTGAGATACTGTACATCACATTTGCAATCAGGACTCTTAACTCTCTAACACAGCCGGAGGAAGTGTTTCTCTGTGTTCCCCTGAGAGGAAGCCCTGAGACTTTTGGAGGCGCAGATATCTGTTGGAGGGCACCACTTGACTGAGCTTGAGCACTTCAGATGTCAGCAACATTTTTTTGTGACTGTTGTTTAGGCCTGTTAGGCAGGACAGGCACCAACACCTGCTCCCAATGTGTGACTTCTGCCATTAATATTATTGATTGAATATGTCAGTCAAGGTCTTTATGATATTTAGGCCCTGTAGCTTAAAGGATTAGTTCAATCCTGAATTAAAATTTCCTTATAATTTACTCACCCCCATGCCATTCATGTCATTTTTTCTTTAGTTTAGAAATTAAGGTTTTTGAGGAAAACATTCTAGGATTTTTCTCCATATAATGGACTTCAATAGTGGCCAGTGGGTTGAAGGTCCAAATTGCAGTTTCAATACAGCTTTAAAGGGCTCTACACGATCCCAGCGTAAGGGAATAATGGTCTTATCTAGCGAAACGATTGGTCATTTTCTAAAAAAAATTCAAATGTATATATACTTTTTAACCACAAATGCTCGTCTTGCACTAGCTCTGTGATGCGCATGCACATCTTCACACATTACATAATCACATTAGAAAGGTCACGCATGTTAGTTCTTCGTCTGTGCACTCGGGGTCAAAAGGTAGGGTAGGACGAAAATCTATTTTTCTTCACAATTGTCCGATATCGTTGTTTTACCTTTTTTTGTAAAGGGTGTTTGATTTTCTTTGCACGTTTACTTTGTAAACACTGGGTCGGTAC